GAAATGTAATGTCTTGTATGATTTGTTGGCGTATTACTTTATTATTGTGAGCATATCATAACAAAGGGCAGTTCATCTTCTATTTCATTTATGTGTACATTTGTTTGTACACTATATGATTATATAGTATGGTATTCACACAGGCTGCCTATTTACCTTGACATTTTCAAACCCCACTTCCAAGTCCATGCTTCCATAATGCCAGAATTAATTAAACCGTTTAAAAAGTTTTAAAAAACACCTGGTACATGTATGTAATATGCCTTGATCAACCATTTTGTGAAAAATATATCTAAAGTTTAAAAAGGTATAAATTGCTAAATGAAATTTATTCTGTGTGTTGTAATCAGTATGATAAGCAGGATTGATTAGTGTAGTTTTTTCTAGCACATATGTCCACACTTGCTTTATCTTTTTTAACAACTAACTTTCTTTTTGTAGTAGTAGTTATCACAACTAATCTTTATTGCTATTAACTTATAGAAACATTGTATTTCTAAGGATGCAATAAAGTTATTATTATTATTATGTCCTGAAATTTTAGTATATGCTTAGTATATATAAACATAAACTGTGCCCTTGTGTCTACAATTGAATGCACTATATATTTTCATGTTGTGCCCTCTTTCACTTTGTTTTACTTTACGACACTTTATAGTTTAGTGTATACAACAGTACTATGATTGTAATTTTATTCTTTCAACTCAATTATAGGCACTTCTTCCTGAAGGATTGTGGAATCAATGTTGCATGAAAATCATTGTACTTGACAATAAATATATTTCAATTAATCTAACACATACATGTAAACTGTGTAATTAGTACTTTGAAGTGCATACATGGCCATTCAAATAATAGTGTTGCCTTAGAGGTCATATAATTTATTAAGAGCAAACCTGTAATCCACGTTCAAGGCATGTATGTCTTTTGCAGTTCAACCACTTGATCAATTCCTATTGAATGTGTATATTCATGATCTGTATGCATATTTTGTTGTTTAATGTTTTTGACCCCAAGAGCGAAGTCTTTGCAGTTAAAGAGTGTATGTCTGTTCCACCGATATATAAATCATTGGATTTTGATTAAATTTGGTACATAGATGTTTGGACTAATGCACAGATTTAATTTGATTTTGGTTCAAATCCATGCATATTAATTATCTAATTTGCATTACGATTAGTCAAATTCGAATTTACTACCTGTAACTTGATACATAAATGCTCTATGACATTGCACAAATCTGATTATCCTTGGGTTAAAATCCGTGCTTATTAATTACCTTATTTCTATAATTTTTTAATTTGCAAAATAATTACCCAATTTTCTACCTACATGTATATCTCAAAAACCATATATTGTATTCCAATAAGACTTGGTATGTAAGTGCCCGGGAACAATGCTAAAGACCTGATTAGTTTGGGATTGAAATTCAAGCATTCTAATTGCCTAATTTCATAATATCATAATTATCACATTTCAATAAAATTTGGTTTATATATGTTCAGGGGTAATCCTGACGTGATTAGGTTAATGTTTAAAACTTGCATACTGATTATCTAATTATTATTTGTCAATTTTGATATCTCAAAAAATCAGATTTAAATTTGAACTTGAACAGATTACAATCAAATTTATTTTCAGTAAGTATTATAAACTTCAATAATGTGAATTATATTGTTTTCATGTTGTGCATCTCAAATAGCAAATCTTATTTAATTATTAATATGCCTTCAAAACTGTCAGCACACAGGAGTTCTTTCTTAAGCTTTCTTTGATTTATCAGGTGTTCTGTAGTTTACAGTACAGTAATGTTTGTTGACTGGATTACTCTTTGATTTGTAGATAATACCGGTATGTTTAACAATTGCTTCAACATACTGTATTCTCAATTGAAAAAGTTACCCAAGCATAAGTTGCACTCAATAATTAAAAAGATAAGAAACTTCTAAATTCACATGCAATTTCTTTCAAGAAGAGTATCTATCATATGTCAGTTGCTAAATATTGTGCAACATAGTGCTGACAGTTTATTTCGTGTTCCTTTTTTCATTTGTTTTTGTCTACAACTCAATTGCGTTAAACAGCCAACAACTTTTGACTATTTTTGGCATACTAATATAAATATAATAAACATGTTTGAACCGGCCAACAGTTTATCAACTATATACAGGTTTATTAACAATCTAAACTGCATGAAAATTCAACATATATTGTGATCTCCTACAGGTACTCTGAATTATGGGTTAAACATAAATATGGTTGATGATTTTGTGAATTCTGTCAAATGGAGTTTAGCAGCCCTATTCATTTACAAAAGCCATTGAGTCACCGTTTGTGACTTAAAATTTAACAATTATCTCTTGGGTAGGCAAACAAATGTGATATGAAACTGCTTTACTAAAAGTTGTTTAAGATATTGTGCATTGTCAAATGTTGTGCAATTTGCACACATCACTGTCGGTACTGTTTTTTTTAATTTAAGCATAAAATTATTGGGTGTATTTAGGGCAGTCTAGATGATCTACTTAATCTCATTATCTGTTTTGTATTAATTCTACATTTGTCATTAGTTTTTGATTGAATTTCGAATCATGAAAGTCTATTTGTTGCATGGAAAATGACATAGGCCTTTGATATTTTATTAATTGCTTAAGTATTTATAACCTTTTATTTTTTTCTGTTGTCAATGTAGATTTTCTTCTTTTACTGACTATATGAATGTGGTTTATGTTATGTTGTTTGGGGCTTAAAAACATTTAGACCAAACATTTTTATACCATTCTTTTTCGCTATCTATGGGATAATTCGATCATTCAGTCAAATGACTGCCATGGGTAATTGTTAAGCAGCCATTGTTGTGATTATTTGTATATACCCTGTCATGTAAACTTGACATAGCCATCACTGGTTGCTAAGTGACAATTAAAAGAGTATGGATATGGTGCTCAACAAATGTTAGCCTCACATTAGGGCAGTTGGACCAGCCTTATGTTTTTGTTTGCTAGAAAGGATTACATTTCTCATTCATATTCTTAAAATATTTAAGCCAATGTATTAAAATACGCTTGACATAGCCTGGATAGGTTTTTTTAATCAACACCGGTTTCTCATTTGACATAATAACCTGGGTTTGTCATTGTATGATATACAATCTGCTGTAGCTTCTATTGTCAGTAATAAAATACATAGCTACACAATTCAAACATATGAAGTTAATTATCTTGACAGGAGATGAATTAGTTAATCCTTCTAATGTTCACGCAAGGTGGATTTTAGTTCACATAAACAACACTGACATTTGTTTAAAATCAAAACAATTATTGTGTTGCTTTAATTACTTGAACTGCTGATGCCAGCAGTCATGACTGTTTTCTGACCTCATCAGTGCTATATATAACACAAATCATTTTGAGTGACTATTGAGGCAGTTTTCATACAAGGCCTGCATTTATGGATTAAGAATACTTGTATAATGCCCAAGGCTCTTGCCAAAGGGTGACTTAATTAGGGCAGATTTTTTGAGAGGCATGACTTTAAACTACAAGTTTTGATTAGGGTTGGGTGCAATAGGCTTGACTAGGTTAGGCTTTCCAGAGATTGATTCCTATGTGTAGTTTTCAATAGGATCATTATAATTGCATTGCATTAAAATCATTGGTATTTACCAATAGATGAGTAAATTCATTGTCAATTGTCTTCTTTATTTACAGATTTTCCAACCACATTTTGACAATCAAAAACCTATACTGCGAATTCTGTCATGCAACCTGGCTGACCCTTATGAGGCTGTCAAGTATATTCAATAAAGACATTCTTAGCATCCTACCATTGTAAATTAAATAAGTAATGTGTCATCTGTATTGTGTTGTTGTGTATTCGTTTATTTATGTCTTTCTGCACATTGTTTGTAGACAAGTTCAAAGTTTATTTACTTTTGAAAATCAATCTGAAATGTAAATTAGTGATTATATTTAAATAGCATCATCATTATTGCTATTTATGTGGAATGTGATTTTTATAAAGTATAGTTACACACAATATATAACTTATTACATATTTATTAATATAAATATAAATTTATTAATAATTACATACACAATTGGTTTATAAACGTTATTTGCTCTACTAATGATACAACCAAATTTTGCTTAGTTAAGGCTCTGTTACTGATTACCTCTTTGCAGTCCTCATTCTATGCAAATTTCAATGTCACATCTCAGTTCAACCATTCAGAAAATTATTATAATAATGATTTTTGTTACATTTGCATGTTTTCCATAATTTAATTGCCCACTGTTGGTGTAATATCTTTGAAGTGTTACATTTTATTGTTGAAATATTCGCTGTCAAAGAGGAGTTAGTTAATATTATCTCCTTTTAAAACCTAACTTTTAACTTGTTTTTATTGTCAGTATTTAATTCAAGTGACAAATAAATAAAATTTTTCTCAAAATGAGATTTCCTCCAGCTTGACAATTTGGGTTGATTTTGTTGATAATCATTGCATACAAACCTTATCTGGAATACTGTAAAATAATTTATTTTAGCTAGAATTAATTTTTGCTGAAAAGACTTTTTGGGTGTTATGTATGGAGTTTATTTTCACCGATTTTTGATGAGTTTAATATGAAATAGAGAAGAAAAAGGCATATTCGCTAGATTTATTTTCACTGAAAATAAATTTCTGATTGAAATTTTACAGTATGTCATATTTTATGAATTATTTTCTATTGTGTGAATTGATGGTCATTGTGCATTTACTGCTTGCTAAGGACTTGCTGCAGTAATGTTATTTGTGTTTAAGAGATATAAAAACTTGTGCTGTTACACCCCCCATTTAAAGATACTAATACATTTAACAAATTTAAAACTGTCAAAATATTAAGTGTGTTGTATAAAATATTTTCATTACAGCTAAAAACATAGATTTTCAAAAATATATCACTGTACTAGCTCATTCATGGTTAGTGGTTAGTTACGGTGATATGTCCATTTAGTCACTAATAATGTTATGTTTATAGATGAACAGAATTTATAGTTTACAAAACACTTCAAGCGACTGACTAAGTGCTAAAACCATTAAACTAAATTACCATACTAATGATAAAGTACTCCTGGTGCACATGTGTATAGTACATTTCTTAGGGACTTGAAAGAAGTATATAAAATGTCTTCCTGGGTGGGTTCATTGAACTACGACACTGATTATTTCATGGTCCCACCTCGGCCTTATTGCGTCTCGCACTCATTCACATGAATAGTAAAACCTTTACAGCATATTTCAATATGTCACACAGGATTTCCTCTCATTACATCAAAGGATTATGTCTTTCTTTGCTGAATAAAATCGTAAATACCTTCCTGTTCGTCCATAACAAAGAATGACTATACACTGAATTATTATTGTAAGTACTTTTCACGAGGAGCTTTTACTATTTATATATTTTTGTAAATACCAGAGAATGTATATTGTCTACATATTGTCTCATAACTGTTGACTGTTAATCTATCTTGATGACCCACTTCATACAGAGACTACAATATATCTATTATGGCTTATCTATTTGCAGTATTGCAAAGTTTCTCGTAATCCCTTCATTGTGCTCCATTCCACTCCTGTTACACAAGCGAATTCAGCCCATCTAATCTTATTCATTTGTATGCGCAGTAGACCATGTCATTACTCAAAGCTTAGTTTATTCATCATACAAATAGTTTGCCTGGTTATGCAGTGACATGTTGTGAAAATAAGCACATGTTATTGAGAACATTCACTTGGAATACATCAAACTTAGAGATTGGTGTACTTCAAGATTCAAAAGCTCTGCTCATACAGTTGGAATCACACTGGAGTACTGAAGGACTGTGGATTATAAAAAAAGAATTGTAAAGAATGCGAGTCGGGTCACTGCACAGAGCAACAACACTTGTACCAGACATGACAAATTATCACCATATCAGAAGTAAAGATCTTTAAAGGTGCCGAACTTTTGAAAGGTATCACAATCGCGGGAATATTTCAAACACACCCTTGTTTCAATATGCTGCCAAATATTGCGAAATCATTCATGAACATAGCTCGCATGTATTTTATGCCAGTGTTATGTTAGACTGGCTTTCTTGTTTTTAATTAATGAGTTGGCTCATAGCCATGTATCCATGGTAATGCATTATGCTTCAATGTTACAAAGTTTAAATACATATAAAAGGTAATCAGCATACAGCACAGACTCCCAAGCAGTTTTAATAACCGCTGGTTTTATCATCATGGCATTATTTATTGTGTGGTAATAGAAACTGTGGAACTTAATTTCCATGTTAAATGCATTGTAAATTGTTATAACCTAGCCTAAGGCTTGTGGCAAAGTGTTGTGTTACATGCATTCCCTGTCAATAGATTGACAGCTATTGCTAAGGGTATACCCATCCTATAGAGTTCATTGTATGTCCAAGTTGAACACAATTGTGAATACAGTCACAATGCAAAATTCACAAAACCATCACCAATTACTAAATAATTCAAGTTCTTTTGAAAATACATGAAAGTGAACTGAAGTGTCACCTTGTCTGGTAGTTTGATTGACACACATGTGACAGTAATCATCCTTGCTGGACTTAAACACGAGCCAGGGATTCAAAAAAAAAACTTATTTGCAAATAACGTTGTGAATTGAATGTTGGCTGAAAAGATTCAGGGCACTTGTCCCATGACGTGAACAATGACCAAACACACTTAACTACTGTAACTACTTCATAGTATATTTAGAAAAAATCAGTAAAAAACAACTCTGCCTGGGATATATATAACTAATGTAGTTTGTTCTATTATGTAATGAATTATACTATTCATAACCATTGGTTTGTTTTTCGTATGCATTAACAAATGAGTTCCAAGGCATTTTTTTCATGTAGCTGTATCAACTATTCATACATATACCCACCTTAGCAATCTGGTATTTACATGGCAACACTGATGTTTTCTTCTTGATCAACTTTTGGTTAGCATGGCAACTAATCTGTTATGCCCGATACATTAATGCATATGCACGCTAGCTACCTATCTGTAGTAATTACTACATAGTATTTATCACTGCCATTCCAAATGATTTACCTGTATAAGTAAACAAATTTAAAAACCTCTATTCATTGGTGATACTCTTATCTACATATAGGTACGTAGTTGCTTCTATTTCGACATTCGTCTGTCGCGTATCGTTTGAATCGAACAAATGTACCGAACGTATTCGTTGCCATGCCAGCTCTAATAAGGACAATGGCATTACTGCAGCTTGGTTTAGTCAATTGTTCGGTATACTCTTACACTTGACTGTGTTCACCACATGTAGTAAGACATAGTTTTAGTGAGTACAGGGCGGAGTGCATGTGAAATCAATTTCAAATGATTTATACACTATAGGTAGCCGAACAAAATATAAACCAATTGCAACCACTTGCGCCTACGAGGCCTAAGGGATGGTGAACAGAACCCCCCCCCCATGCAAAATTTCGTACCGCTTCCTCTGTAATTGGCTAAAAAAATCATGGAAAGTAATATTTCCCAGAACAAAAGTCAATTAGCAGATTTATCACGGGTTTAATTGGACGGTTCACCATTCAAAATGATACAGCTAAACAAACCTAGAAAGCTGCAAAGTCGAATATGGTGATACAACTACAAACGCATCACTGAAAAGTGCAAATCACCAAAAATACGCTTCAATACCCGTAATTATAATTCAACTGTATCCTGTATGTCTTCCTGACTCTCTGGTATCTTTAGATCATGATCTACTATTGCCATTGTAAGATGTGTGCAGTTTACCAGTCTACATTTACCTTACTTCACGAATATTGTATAATTCTGTGGAACAAATTAACCATTTACTTCTGGTTGGGAAACGTGCGTTTTTCAAAAGTTTGAGTTTCTTTCCGGATACAATAAGACATCTCGTGGATGTTTCGCTATTCGGTACTTTATGAACAGTGCCAGTAAATATAGAAATGGTCATTGCAAAGTTGTGTAGTTTACATATCATCGTTGCACGAGTAGTAGAAAAGTAGATATAAGTCGTAATGGCGCTGAATGCACAATATTGTAAGTATGATTTTGCATGTTCATTCCGGTGCCGTGGTCGTGCTCGATAAGGAACCGTACGACGCATATAACATCGTTTGCTAAGACGAATTTCATACGATTCAGTCGATTAAGTCAAGGCTGTCTAAATTTCAAACATTCAATGTTAGGTAATAATGACCGAATTATTTTGGCATTGACCCGCCAATATATGGAACTTTTAACATTATAAATCAACAATATCTACTTATCTTTATCTTGTCGTGATATGTTCTCAGGAAAGGTAGCAGTACCAATATCAGGTGCCATAATATTATAGAATGTGATTTATTTTATCTTTATTTTAAACCCCATATATTGTAATACGGTATTATTATCATTGGTAAAGTAATGAAAGTGTCGAATGAATATATACTATTGTCGACGAGCTTGCCGTTAAAAGCAGCCCAGTGTCTTTTCGGAGTGAGGTATAGTGGATAAGGGCGTAACTTCTAAACGATGACAACAAGGCAAGGAAAGATCATCACCCAATTTTCGAAAGCTGTCAAGTCGTTGTTTACATGTTCTGACTCAGTGTTGCATTGATTGGACAACTAGAACGTTATAAACTGTGTTTGAATTCAGTTTATGAACATACTTTTTGTTACGGTTAGTGAATGCCTTTCTCAGTTATCTATATAAATTACTGTTTAGTCTAAGTAATTGCTTTCTATGTCATGTGTGTACTTATGT